GATGATGTAATCATTTATTATTTTTATTGTATATTTATATATAGGGGTGTATATTACGTATTATACTGTTTATTTTTGTATTATTTTATTTATGTATATTATTTTGTATATTTTTGATCCACTCATTTATTTATTATTATGAATAAATAAATTAAGATTTGTGTTTTTCTGTTTTTTTTTTCCTTGATTGATAAATAATATTATTTGGCACTGTCTTTCGTATATATTATATGCAAATTTGTTATACAGTATATTTACAGTATACAATTTATCCTTTACTAATGTACTTCCAACTTAAAAGAGGATCACATTTCTTTACTTATTGTACGGGTAAATAAATAATCAACCAAACCAGGGACTTTCTGCCAAATTTAGTGATTATGAAATGTGGGAGGAACAAATATTTATTAATTAATTAATTAACTTTTCCTCTTTATACATGTTGATTTCATGAATTTCGCTAACAGCCGCCAATTCATACAACATAATATAATATAATAATATTAATATATTATACAACAACAATAACAACTCCACATAATTTTATTACTTAATTTGGGTGTTTCCCCGATTTTTTTTTTGTCATAAAAATACTGCGCCACCACAAATTTCAATAACTGAATAATTATGTATTATTGAATTATTGATTGAATGGTGATATTTACCAAAAATTTAAATACAATAGTTTTTTGATTTACACATACATTACTATTTCTGACAATAGACCTTTTACAACGGATATACCAGAATGTGAAAAGTTATTGAAAAATATGGAGATCTTTAAATTTCCATCCATATTGATTTTCTGAAATGAAATTCTTATTTAATATAAACGCCATTGGTCTATCTATATGAATTGCTCAATTAATCGAACTTGTCATATCAACGAGAGTTACTCCATTGATCTTAACAAAATCTGACGTGATCGTCGGGAATTTCTGATGATATCCACTTGTTTAACATGATAGATCTTATTCTCTAATGATAGTCCTTAAATTTTGCATTTTTGGTATCAATAATAATAAGGCATCCAAATTAGCCGTTCCATAACCACAACTAAAATTAGAATTATGAAATCTGATGGATAATCTTCCAATTTGGTTTTGTGCTATCAATCAAACTAGAAATATAATCATAAATATCATCATTTGGTAAATTTTATTCCTCAGTATTTCTAAAGATTAAATATTTTTACAAATATTTGCAAATTTATAAACAATTTCAGATCGGTTAATTTCAATTCATAAAGATCATGAAAACTAAGCATTGAATCTAGGATGATAAATCAAAATAAATAAAAGAAATCCTTTTCTTCTACCAATAAACAATTAATTATTATGCTGTTTCTGGCATATAGCAGATCTCTCCGTAAAGCTTGTATATTGATATTATGTCATCGTTTATCGATCAGAATGAAATATAATTCCTGCCAAGTTTCGGCAGTATTTGGTTGTTCAATGCAATGTCCGGATGTAACATTATTATCCAATCAAAATTTTAAATTTATGGAGATAGTTTCTAAATTTGTACCAGTTACACAACGAAATTTCAACTGTTAATTATGAAAGTTTTTTATTCTGAAATTTGCTTAAAGCATACACCAAAATATGAAATAACGTATGGCCATTCAATAGTTCATCCTGGTAAGTTAATATAATCAAATTAATATATAAAATTACAATTGAATTAGTAAAAGTTTTTCCGACTTGCTTTTTTTTTTTTTTTTTTTTTTTTTTTTTTTTTTTTTTTTTTATATTTTTTTTTTTTTTTTTTTTTATTTTGTTTTTTTTTTTTAATCATTATATTTTCTCGCGCACACTCCAGCGATAAT